AGGGCGGAGCCTGCTTGGCACGGCGCGCATGCGCGGGCGGGCGTCGGGCACGCCCCCAATGAGCTCAGCCCGGGTGAGGGTGAACCAACCTTCTGTACTTAGGGAGTTAACGGAGGAGGAGCGTGGACGCTGTGTGCTTTTTTGGTTGGTTTGTTTGTTTTTGTTTTTCTTTTTGTTTTCTTCGGTTTTTCGAGACAGAGTTTCTCTGTGTGTAGCTTTGGAGCCTATCCTGGCACTCGCTCTGGAGACCAGGCTGGCCTCGAACTCACAGAGATCTGCCTGCCTCTGCCTCCCGAGTGCTGGGACTAAAGGAGTGCGCCACCAACGCCCAGCCGTTGTGTGCTTTTGCACGACGGATCTGCCGTCTTCTGTCGTCGATTCTTCCCGCAAGGCTGCTCGAGTCCGAGGGCTTCTTCAGCTCTGTGCAGTCAGTTTGTGGACGGACTTGTCATCAGGGCCTTTGCTTCCTTTCCGGGCTCTGGGACCGACTAGACGGCCTTCATCCAACGTTGTTGACCAACTTGAGTCTCGAGCTGCAGCCAGCCTCCGGTTCCCGGCTCCTTTTTTCTGCCTTGTTTTGATTGGAATATTATTTTGTTGTGTCACGGTCTTGTATTACATGCTGACCTTTGACTCTATACAAAATGATCTTGAACTTCTCCTCTGTCCACCCCTTGAATACTGGAATTGCAGGCACATGTCACATCACCGCCTACGTAATTGCTGGGGATCCGACCCAGAGCTTCATGAATGCTAAGCAAGCACTACCAATTCAGCTACATCCCGGCCCCCGATTTTTTAAATTTCATTTTATTTATTTTCTTTTTAGGAAAGGTCTCACTCTGAAGTCCAGGCTGGGCTGGAACTCTTAGCACTCCTCCTGCCTCAGCCTCTGAGTGCTGGGAGTTAAGGCGTGAGCTACCATGCCGGCCTTCTATACTTTTCAAACTAAGATGTTTATAGTGAAATGTTTCAAATAGAGCAATACAAATACCCACTACTGGCTTAGAATCTGATTCGTTCTCCTTACCCCCTCAGCTCTATTGAGCTCTATCGGAGAATGGTAAAAATATGAGAAATCCCCTGGTGTACCCACACCCTGCTTACATCCTTGCCCTCTCCATGCCATTTCTGTGCATGTCTTT